AAACTTGTTACAACAACTGGGAACAAGCAGTGCGAACACAACTTATCGACAGCTTGTGAACAGATTTGTAACAACTTGTTTGCAGACATGTAACAACTTGTGCGTTTTTATACGCGTGTATAGTTGAATCTGTCTCGTTCAATTTTCATATGGTCGTAAAAATAGAGTCACGATCTTTCTCAACGGCCAGTTTATAATAGTTTATACCTGTAAACCACATATAAATCATAAGTATTCTCTAGTTATAATCACTCCGCGTATTTTCAGTTCTAAAATGTTGTATTTCGGCTGATGAGAAAGATCGTGACTCAATCTTTACGACCGTTACGACCATATGGAAACCAGGCTTTTAGCACAGATACACACCTTCTCTTGTTTTGACAACCCTGACGTCTTTGTAAGGCAGCTTTGTGTTGGCTAATATTTCGTGAATCTGAAAACAAACCATGCAGTTTTAAAGTTTAAGAGGAGAGAATCTTCTGTATGTTACGTAACGCGAGCTCAACACTAATGAATATACTTTTCATTTGGTTATGACTATACTCAATTTTTTAAATTTTTACTACGTTTCTCAAGCGACAAACAAACTTGAAATGTATGTTTAGTGCTTTATCTGTAAAATAATGCTAAAATGAAGAGATTTGAGATGGTACGCCAAAGAGAAAATTATGTCTGAAGTTCAGTAAGTTTTGTTTATATTGCTGTATAAATATGACGTCAATTTTACAGCATCGAAGATAATTGCATTTAATATAAAATATTTAACTATCATTTTGTGTTTCTCAACCGCCAGATAATTTAAATAGGTTGTGGGGGCTTAGTCTTAGATCCCCTTGCTAGGAGCTCAGAGGGCCCCCTTGTTAAAAATTTCATGCCGGTTTAGGGGCCGACCTCCCAATATTTTTGCCGATTGCATAATATTCAAAACCTGGAAAATTCTTTGCAACTGTAGTGTTGAATGATGCAGTAATGATGTTGATAATCTGTACTAAATTACTAGTCTATGATACTGTTAGGTCAGGTGCATGTATGTGGCTCCAATATGAAATACTGTATAGCTTCGGTATATCGGAATCTGAAGTTAAGTCCTTTCTTCAAAAAAACACCATTTGAAAAGAACCCCCCTTGTTATCATGCATTTTAATTCTGCATCACTGCTTTCAAATGTCTCTCAAAAGCCGCAAAACAATGCCTTTCAAAACCTTAAATTTTTCGAGCTCTTTCCCAGCTTCAACGAAGATAATTTCACAAACCCTAATTCTCAACTAATCCGAAATTTACCCGTATATAATGCGAGTACAAACAGCGAAATAGATCGGCTTTGCTCTTTGGCTGAAGTTAAAAGAATTCAACTATTTATGTTATTCAACGAGTCATGCAAATTCGATGCCCTGCTGTTTCCTGAGCAGATTTAAACAAACAGTCTATAGTTTTCCATGAACATCATTTCCTAGTATAACCATTATTTAAATAAAGTAAACTAAAACCAATTAAATACTATTGAGAAGTCGCAGTTCACAACTGAATATATACCAACTTAAACCGTCCAATTATTGTTTGCAAACTCGTTTTAAGTTAAGAAAATGTCTGGGATAATGGACAATATTTTGCCAAAAGCGAAGAAGAGCAAACGGGAAAGCGAATTCAAGGTCTACATCAACAAAGGCGAGCTGGAACGAATTCACGAGTGGGTAAAAGCGAAACCTGATATCGAAACAGGTTAATGTTGTTTACTTGTTTATTACAACGTAAATAAATAAAATACAGTAAATATCGGGACCAGTGGACCACTATCTTTTCAATGAAAGGCTGCAATGGTTCTTCAATAACGTTTACTTCGCAAGAAATACAGATTCTTTCCCAAATGCATCTTTACATTCAATCTTTCGACAATCTGTAACAAGCTGTTAACAACTTGTAAGAAGCTTGATGGCATTATCAGACTTGCGACAAGGTTGTTCTAACAAGTCTGATACAGTCATGATATAACAAGCAGGGACGCCGGA